TGCTTTGCATTCCCAAAATATTCTCCAGCGTACACAGACATGCACTTTTCTATTCTCAAGAATATCAGTTTTGTTATTTCTTTTTAAAAATATGCTAAAGCACCTAGCATAATGCCTGACACTTAGCAAATGATTAGTAAATATACAATGTCAATGTTTTTCATTAATTAAACATATTTTGAGCATCTAAATCATGTGTCCATTCATGAAATATTTATGTGTAAACCCTGGAGAATATATAAAAAACATCATCAAATGAAATGAAAAAACAAAAGTGATGAAGAAAAATATCACTAAGAGAAATTGAACATTAACGTGGTTCTATAAACTGTAGTGTTTTTTTACATGTCAGTTTTTAAAAATGCAAGATCATTTGTAATAGCTCTCTTGAAATAACTTTAAATGGTTTTTGAAAAATAACAGATATTGGAATATTTATAAAAATATGTCTGTACACTTTTGAAAACATATTAAAAAATCATAAGTAAATTCATTTATTTAATTTTTAGTCAATCTTACTCTATTTGTAGGAGAATCAGCCCTGTCCTCAGATTTGACTTCACAAATATCACACAATAGTTCCACCAGAAAGATACACCATTAATAGCTGAAGTAAAGAGTGACTACAATAGCAGCACATGTCTGTCAGGAATCTGAACATTTTACTTTGCTGTAAGAGAATATTAGGAAAATCTGTGAAAGAGAAACAGAACAATCAAAGACCCTTGATGAAGGCCAAATGTGTGCAGTATTAAGAAAAAGCCTGCAAGAAACTACTTTGTGGAATTGTTAATGCAGTGATTCCTCTAAAGTAGACTGCATTCAAATTTGGGAATGTTTGAAGAAATTTGTATACAGGATGCTTAAATGAATGAGGTTCCAGCCTTCCTTGACGACTAAGATGAATTCAATCAGGACCTTGTTTTATGTTGAGATTAACAATGAAATTAATAGTGTCTTGGATCAGAGTGGTAGCAGGGTGAGATGATAACAGATTCTGGATATATTTTCTTACCAGTGGGTCAATAAAAGAGGAAATGAATGAGGTCCATGGACTAGTCTATGAGATACTTCAACATTTACTAGTATGAGAGAAGAGGAAGGAATCAGCAATGAAAAGCGATAAGGAGCTGCCAGAAAGAGCAAATTAGGAAAGTATTGCATCCAAAAGAAAAACGAAGAAAGAGTTTCAAGGAAGGGTGAAAGTTTAAGAAGATCAAATGATTTGGTAGAGACTTCAGAATCAGAAATCAGCTATTGCATTTGCCAATGTGGAGGTTATGAACTGGATAAGAACAGTGTCTGTGGCATGGTAAGCACAATGGCAGGATGAGAGGTGGAGTTTGGAGAGTACATAAGGGGATAGGAAGAGAGAAATTGGAGCCAGAAAATACAGACTGCACTTTGAAAGATTGTTGTAAGGACGACAGGAAATAGGGCAGTGCTTGGATAAATAAGTGAGGTAAAAAGAGGGCTTTTTTCCCCAGAAGATGGAAAAAAAAGTTCTGTATGAGAATGGGAATGATTTAGAAAGGGTGATACAATTGATTATGCAGGGTTAAATGGTGAATAATATTCAATATTTATTCAAATATGTTTATTGAATAATATTGAGTAGAAATATAAGATAATAAGATATAGTCCCTGATCTCATGGATCCCACATGCCATTTTCTCAGCATTGTCCTCCAGCATAAAGGGATTCCCAGTTGAAGCCTCTGCTAACATGAGAGTCAAGGTCGTCTTATGAGAATGATGAAGGAAATGGTAGGATATGCAGCTTGATGTAAATGCATAATGTCTGGTGACATCTGAAATTGTACACATTAGAAGAAAAATTGCTGGTAATTATTTTTTTAATTTGTTGGGATACTAGTTAGGATGGTAGTGTGACTCCTCTGTGAGAAAAAAAAAAAAAAAAAAAAAAAAAACAGTATAGATGAGCAGAAAAGCCACACAGTAAAATTTTATAGGGTTGGAGGTTTATAGAGAATCACTAGAAAGTAAAAGAAGTAAGGACGGAATGACAATAACAGGAAACTGTTCCTTTATTAGGGTGAGTGATCTGGGCTGGAAAGAGTCTGTGAATACAGGAGATGATGCTAAGATTGGGAGTGAATAAAAAGATGAAAGTTCTGGAGGTACATATGCACTTGAAGTAATCAAGAATGTGAAGCTTTGGAAGCCAGTAAGATAGATAATATTTGCAATTGAAAGAGAGAGAACTTCATGTCAATGTCAGGTCTAGAAGTTGATCATTGTTGTGGTGTAGTTGGAGTGTCGGTGAAGGTCATAAGGGCAATGGTTAAGGAATTGTGAATTAAGGGTGGAAGATGGTTCTTTTTCCAAAAGGCATAGAGGTAACTTAGCACAATGACAAGATCTGAGGTAGAGTAGAGTATTGAGACAGTACCTGAGTCAATGCTGAATATCAGGGCAAGACTTTGAGGTTAATATTTGACAAGAGAAAAGAGGGAGGCACAACCAGATAGCATAAAATTCAAAGAAGGATAAATGTTTTATAAGGATGAGTAATTAATATTTTGGAAGCTATAAAGCTAGAAAAGTAGATATAAACACATTCTAATGATATTGTGGTATGTTCTATATGGGAAATGGGCAGCATTCATTAGCAAGAGCTACAGGGAAATGAGGCTAGAGAAAAGCTAGGCTCCCAGATATTACATTCTTCTGTTTTTCTTCCTGCTTCCATGGATGATTCTTAGTCTCCTCTGAGGATCTTCTTTTGCTTTTGCTTTACATGTTGCCATATACTCCCTAAAAAAGAAATATTGGTTGCATTTAATTCAACTAGTCATTTTATAGAAACATGTTTGTCTACTAGTTTATTGTAAGCATGTTTATCAGATTGTAAAATATAAATCAAAATATGTACAAGAGTTTAGTTTCTGATACTATCATGTTAAGGAAAAGAAGATACGTGGAAGTACTTCTGATTCTAATATTAGATATTAGAGCGTATTTTAGGGATTGTTGGGTATTTTCTGATGAATTGTATCTGATTTTCTAACTCACATGTAGGTCTTGTTGGTGAATACTTTTATTTGTTTCTAAAACATACTGACCTTCAACTCCTCTTTCAGTAAAAGCCACTGTTTAAAATACCCTCTGGGAAAAAATGTGTGTATATGTGTGTGTGTGTGTGTGTGTGTGTGTGTGTAAATGCTAGCTTTATATTTAATGTATAAATGTTAATTTCATATAAAATTAGCATTTAATGTATAAGTATTATAATACCTTCTAAGAAGCACTTTATTTTCAGACACTAAAAATAACTGTTTTGTTGTGCTGATAAAAAGTACTCATCTGGTAAGTAAATTAGACTGCTCTGGCTGCCGTAACAAAATAGTACAGGCTGGGTGGCTTAAAAAGCAAAAACTGTATTTTCCCCCAGTTCTGGAGTATGAAAAATCTCAGATAAAAGTCCCTAGGATCTGTTCCTGGCTAGGACTCCTCTTTTACTAGCTTGTAGATAGCCAGCCACCCTCTCCCTGTGTTCTCAGGACCTTTCCTCAGTGAATGCTCCAGGGGAGATAGACAGCTACCTCCCTGAAGTCTTCTGATATGGACACTAATCCTATTTGAAAAGGGCCGCACTCTTATGACCTCATTTAACCTAAGGACACCATCACTCCACAACTGCACAGGGAGATTATGGCTCCAAAATATAAATTTAGAGGTAATGGGGGAAACATTCATTTAATAACAGTGAGTGAAGCTGCTGTTTGTTTATGTCTACACAGCAGTTTCTTGAATATATTTTTGTCAGTGACACAGCCTTACCAATCAGTCCCAATGCAGAGGTGTTAATCCGTAAAAGAATGTCTAGCCTAGACTTTTGTACCTGTTACAAAAGCTATATGACTCCCTGGGATCTGTTTATTTGGATTTTATTAGATATGGAATAGTAGCACAGAAGTTGGAACCTCCAGATCATCCTCAGAGAGGCAGGATGATGGGTGGGATCAAGAAGAACAGTGGTTCTCAAGCTGAGACTTGATCAATTAAGAAAACGAAAACAATGCACAGTGAGAATAGCTTGGACAATATAAGGAGTCTGGAAGGCTGTGACACACCTGAGGGTAGAAGTAAGCTTCCTGTGATAGTACCATCTTATATATGCAGTAGACTAGAAGGCAGGAAATATGAACAAACAGCTCAGATTAGAACATACTGAATCATGAAGGGGCATTAATGCCGTAACAAAAGTTAGTATCTTAATATCCAATGAAAAAATAATAATTTTCATTTCAAAATGAAAATCCTATCATCTGATTCCCCTGCCACGTTATGGATACATTAGTGCTCCTTTTAGTTTCTTTTGGCTTTGTTTTGTATGTCTGTATTTCCTTCTAGGCTGTGGGATGCTTGATGACAGGGACTGCAGATTTACGTCCTCAGTTTGTCACCTGGTACATAGTAGGGAACCAACCAATGTTCCTTTAAAGATTTTGGAATCAGCTGAACATTCATTTTCATTAATGAGATTTTTCAACACTATAATTATAATTTCTAAGAACTCTTGGAGGATAAGATAATCAGAGGTGAAACTGGGTTTAAAATTGCATTTCAAATTAATGAAGACCCTACTGAGAAGGGTTTCTATACTAGACTGTGGTGGGAAGTCGTGTTCAGAAAATATTCCTTCTGTTTTTTCCTTTTTTTCCCCCCCAGTCAGCGCCCAGTGTTTGTTTACTCCATGCATGCAGTCTAGTCACTAGCATTTATTTAAGTCTTCAAGTAACTGAATCCTCAAAGCAGGGCTGTTTAGCTCACTTGAATGATATTTCAGAGGCTTATTTTCTTCATCTATACCACATTAATTTTGAATATCAAAGGCTAAATGCATGTTACATAACCTTGTATGTACTTTTGCTTGAGTATATGTGGACTTTACTCATTTATAAATGTGACTCACATTTTCCTAGGAAATTCAGAAAATTGTTCAATAATGAAATAGTTTCTTTGTTTTCCTTCTAGATAACATGAAAGAGGATAAATTCAAATGGAATCTAACTACACATTCCCATCATGGTAATGTTGATAAGTTATGATTTTGATCTGCATTGCAAATACCTGATAATATAATTTAAAAGGTAGTTACCAGGCTTCCTAAAGATAGGCCAATACAAAATAAATTATGTTGTTTAACAGTTCTAATATAATAAAATGCAACCAAGTCATTTCATTTCTTTTAGTAGTGATCCATTGAAGCAACTACTTTGCCCCTCCATTATCAATGTATACATGTGCTGAGAAATATTTAATAATTAAAACCAAATACCAGGTTGGGCGCAGTGGCTCACACCTGTAGTCCTAGCACTTTGGGAGACTGAGGTAGGTGGATCGTTTGAGCCCAGGAGTTTGAGACCGGCCTGGACAACATGGCAAAACCCTGTCTTTGCAAAAACAAAACAAAAACAAAAATCAAAACTTAGCTGGGCATGGGGACATGCGGCTGTGATCCCAGCTCATTGGGAGGCTGAGGCAGGAGAATCACTTGAGCCCAGGAGATGGAGGTGGCAGTGAGCTGGGATCACGCCACTATACAGCAAGACCCTGTCTCAAAAATCAAACAAACAAAAACCCAAATAGTAGATATTGATTACATTTCATGGATATTTGTGATCATATAAGTTATTTGGCACCAACTGTTTTTGTGTATAATTGTGTTTCTGTAGGAATATAAACATTTACGTATGCTAGAATAACTATGTGGAACCTTTATTCAAGATTCCCCTCACAAAAACGTGAAGCAGAAGAAGAATCATTTTGCCTTGAGCCAATGAGCTAACCATAAGCTATATAGTTCAAATGCAATTTCTGAAGATTTATTGTTTGCATTTGAAAACCCTGGACTGGGAGATTTTTCCTTCAGCTCAATTTTGGCCCTGCACACTTCCCATCACTCTAGATAACAATGTGTATCCTGTATAGATGAAAGATGATTCCAATAGGTCTACTCTTTAGGTCTCAGTAAATTCATACTTACTCTAAAAGATGTAATGTTTGCCAAAGATAGGACATTGGTACATCATTGTATTTTGCTCATAGACTTCTCACAGTGTTTTACAGGTTCTGTATGTACAGCTTTGTGTTTACTTTTCCACAACCTGGGCATATCATTGCTTTCAGGATTCAAAGGGATGTGGTCCTGTTTGGAAGTGGCAGAGGCATGTGTAGGGGATGTGGTCTGTAATGCACAGTTGGCCTCTTACCTTAAAGCTTGCTCAGCAAATGGAAATCCGTGTGATGTGAAACACTGCCAAGCAGCCATACGGTTCTTCTATCAAAATATACCTTTTAACATTGCCCAGATGTTGGCTTTTTGTGACTGTTCTCAATCTGATATACCTTGTCAGCAGTCCAAAGAAGCTCTTCACAGCAAGCCATGTGCACTGAACATGGTTCCACCCCCTACTTGCCTCAATGTAATTCGCAGCTGCCAAAATGATGAATTATGCAGGTGGGTAAAAACACTCATACATTACTTTCTTATTTCGGCACCTTATTTGTTACAGTCCAGTCCTAACACTTGATCTCATTACATTAGCTAGAGTTCCCACCATCATCCAACATGGTGTAAATAAAGCCAGACAATTCATATTTTTTTGAATCTGTGGTACATGTGCAGTATCATCTTTGAAATTCAAATGCAGAATAGATTTTTGAAATAAAAAATCAGCATGTCAAAATATGGTAGCCATGAAATAGTATTATAAAAATTATGCATTCAAGTTAGTCTAATGAATTAGTTAATAGACCTGATTTATATATCAGCCTTTTAATTTTTTTTGTTTAATTATATCAGGCTGTTACAAATTTATTCTTTTGGCAAGGAGACTCTTCAAACTTTGAAATAAATTATTTCTGTCTTAGGCTGCAGATCAGGAAGACGAAGGTAGCTTAAATACTCACATGAGTGGTGCGAGGTCAGAGATAACCAGGTCCACACACATTTGTGTCTTTTCACAATGTCAGTCTTTAATACTGTTCAGTCCCCAAAGCCATGAGCTACACACAGTTCCCAAGGAGGCAATTCTCCTTAGTACTTCTCATTCACTTTGTTTTCAGAGCCATGGGTACACAGACTGAAGCCACTCCACAAATCAGTGTTGCAAACCATACATAATAGTGTACTTAATTGATATATAAGGGTTATAGGTTAAACATTCCACAACAAAGTAACATTTAACATTAAGAGAAAAGGGATAGCAAAAAGGGTTAAGGAACGAGTCCAGGAAGAGTGACAAAAACAAAGATTCCTCTGGTCTTATCTGGGCTGTCCATCAATCTTGCAAGGAAGAGTCTTCCATGTTGGGAGAATTGTTGGCAGCAGACGCTGAGTGCTTATCATGAGTGACAGCAAGACGGTGTCAGGTAAGATAGCCATTTTGAGCTGCTGAAGTCCTACTCTATTTATGGCCACAGAGTCCTCTTGAGAGGACTGATAGTGGAAGAGTATACTTGTTTATGTCCTTATCTGGTTGGATGCAGTCTTGTTTATTTAGCAAAATATTTTGTCCCTGTTGGAAAAGCACCCTATGAAATCTAAGATAGAGTCTTTTTTGGAGTTACTTACGTCAAGGATGCTGTATACAAGTAGCATTTGGACATCCCTAGCACACATGTATGCCATGATCATAGAAATGTATTCATTCTCCTCTTTCCAACCTCACACCTTTGATTCTTGGGGGAGTAATGTTATTCATTTATTTATTAATTCAACAAGGGGTAACCAAGCACCTACTACTACTCTAGGCAATGGTGAATAAGAGAAACAAATGCCTATGGATCTTATAGTCCAGAGAGAAGACAAATATTAAATTTAAAATGTATATGTTGTTTTAAGGCAATGAGTGCTCTGGAGATTAAAAAAGAACAGAATAAAAGGGATTGTGAATGGGCTGAAAGAGTTGCAGGGTAAATGGGGTGGCCCCAACAGGAAACATTTTACCATAGCTGGAGTGAGAAAATGGGCCTCTCTGAGTAGATACTGAGAGAGGAGATAATAAGCAAACTGACGAGCCAGCTTAGGAAAACATGTATGTGGCATGTTAGAGAAGCAGTGAGGGTAGAGTGTGTAAAGGGGAGAGAAATAGGGACGAGATGAGAGATTTAATTGAGTGGGTGTGAACAGGCCTATATCATATAAGGGCTTGAGGGACACTGCCTAGGACTTCGGACATGTAGGTGGCTTACTGTGTGATTTGTCCTATTTGTCCCCTTGTTTCAACCACTGGCAAAAAACCAAAAATAGTAATGATACCAACTTCCTGAAGGTTCTTAGTAAAATTCTTTTTTTTAGCTTTTTAACTATGTCTACTCTTATTCTCAGTCACTGTAACTTGCAAAGTAGTTCCAGATCTTGTAAATATTTGTTAAAAAGAACTGCTTCCCCATAGCACACGTTCTATGAAATAAGTGGTAAAGAGCTAAGCAGAGTCCTAGAGCATTGACATATTTCGTCAACTTATCACATAGGATATCAAAGTCCTTAAAATAGTATTTGAGAATTTTTCATGCAAATGTGTGTCAGTTATTTTAAGGCTTATTTATTTTTCTTGAGTGAACAATAAAGGCAGTGACAAAATACTTTTTATAATGCAATTTAGGTTTTCCATCTCATTTATCATCTCAAAAATCCTTATTAGAGAAATACTATATTTCATTGATTCTAAGATGCGATTTCTTTTTACATATTTTAACATCCCTGACGTATTTGAAATAATTTTTTAAGGTCAATGACAAAGACGTTTGTCATAACTTAAGTCCCCACAGGTAGGTGTTTTTTGTTGTTGTTGTTGTTGTACATAAATTATGGTATCTTCTGAAATCAATGAAATATGGTAAACAAGTTTGAGCACACTACTTTTCTCACATCAAATGAACTAAAACTATTACTATTCTGCCTTTCTAACTATCACATTCCTACATCAATGGTGAAACCTAATAATATTTTAACCAGCCAGGGCCAGGGGACACCATTGTTTCAATAATAATCACTATAAAAATATCAGATTTATTCACAGGTGGGTTCCCAGCTTTGCCTGATTCCAGTGCCAGGGCTTTAGAGGTGCTATCTAATTATCTGGAAGCCATTAGCATTCAACCTTCAAAGCATGGTATTTCTGAGCATCCACATCAAAGAAAATATTTTAATAGCAAGTGATGGCTCTGCTGCTACAGTCCTTGAGACTTCCTGTGATAGACTCTGAAGCACACACTCTTACACTAACCTCCCCTTGGTATCAACACCTTCTCAGATGGACTGGCACAGAGTTGATGATTTTCCTCAACAAGGACTCCCGGGTTTAACCACCTTCTCAAAATGTTTGGTGTAGGGTCTGGAGTGGGATAAGCACTCAAAAAACGTCATCTCTCTTCCTCTCACTTTGGAATATTGTACACTTAATTTTTATATTGTAAGGTACATATACATATTTCTTCTCATGTAGTTTCTTTCTTAGATTAGTTCAAGTGTAAGGACTGTGTGTCTTCAATTTCCTTTCGCTATGTGCAAATAGTCCCTTAATGAGTACTTTATAGAGGTGATGGAAATGTTATATAATATTAGTAGTCAATGTGAAAAGACAAATCCTATCATTTTCCTGAGGAAATTTTGCCTTAGGGAGATGTCCAGCATTTATATTAAATTATTGTTAATGTAATTCAGATGAAAAACAAATCTCCAAGTGGAAAACCACTTCTTCAATGAGAATATTAAGCCCTTTATGATACTTACCATTTTTGCAGAAGAGCCTGTACATAGGCAAAACAGGGCACTTCAGTTTTAAAATACAATTTCTGTCCCTGTTCCAGATTTTTCAATTCACAATGGGTTTTGAAATTCCTTTATTTTTTAAAAGCCAAAGAGGACAATTTAAGGACCATTTCTCAATTAATTTTCTCTAGTACAGATACCCTTTGGGAGGTGAGATTATGTCTTGCCAATTTCACAAAAGTCTGGGTATTTATGGAAAATTATACATTGTATTTTTACATATTAACTTAAAAAAGTAATGACAAGGTATTTGCTTAGAAAATATTATAAATACTTTAAAATATGCATGTATTTTTTTAATTGATTTAAAACAGCACTATATGATATCCTTCTCTATATATTATTTTTGTTAGTTTTCCCTAAATGTGGATTAAAGGTCTTTCCATAATTGCATATAAGAAAATTCACACATCAGGGTCTGTTGGGGAGTAGGCGGGGAGGGGAAAGAACTTAGAGGTCGAGTCAATAGGTGCAGCAAACAACCATGGCTCATGCATACCTATGTAATAAACCTGCCCGTTCTGCACATCTGTCCCATTTTTCTTAGAAGAAATTTAAAAAAAGAAAATTCTTAAATGTTTGAATAGCTATAGAGTATGCCATTGCATGGATGTAGTTTAATTAATTTGCTTAGTCTTTTTTGGACATTTAGACATATTCGGAGTGTCTTATTTTATTTGTAGTTATTGTAAGTGGGACTACTTTGAAGATTTGTTTTTCAGATTGTTTGCTGTTGGCATATAGAAATGCTACTGATGTTTGTGTGTTAATTTTATATCTTACAAATCTACTGAATTTGTTGATCGGTTCGAAGAGTTCTTTGGTGGAGTCTTTGGGTCTTTTCAAATATAAAATTATATAATCTGCAAACAAGGATACTTTTTCTACCTTTCTAATTTGGATACTCCCCCGCCCCCCGCCTTTTTTCCCCCCTTCTCTTGTCTAATTGCTCGGCTAGGACTTCCAGTACTATGTTGAATAACAGTGATGAAAGTAGGCATCCTTGTCTCATTACAGATCTTGGAGGAAAAGCTTGCAGTTCTTCCCCCATTCCATGTAATACTAGCTATTGGTCTGGTGTGTCATATATGACATTTATTCTGTGGAGGTATATTCCTTCTATATCCAGGTTTTGAGGCTTTTATTATGAAGGAATGTAGAACTTTATCAAATACTTTTTCAGCATCAATTGAAAGGATCATATCTTTTATGTCCTCCGTTTTGTTGATATGATGTATCAAACTGATTGATTTGCATGTATTGAACCATCCTTGCATCACTAGGAAAAATCTCACGTGGTCGTGATGAAAAATCTTAATGTGTTGTTTAATTTGGTTTGCTAGGATTTTGTTGAGGATTTTTGCATTAATATTCTTCAGGAAAATTGGCCTATAGTTTACTCTCCTTGATATGTCTCGTCTGGTTTTGGTATCAGGGTGATACTGGCCTCATAGAATGAGTTTGGAAGTATTCCCTCCTCTATTGTTGGAAATATTTTGAGTGGAATTGGTACTAGTTCTTCTCTAAGTGTTTGGTAAAATTCAGCATCAGGTCCTAGGTTTTCCCTTGCTGGGAGACTTTCTATTATAGCTTCAATCTCATTACTTGTTATTGGTCTGTTCAGGATTTGGATTTCTTCATGGTTCAAGCTTGCTAGGTTGTATGTGTGTCTACAAATTTATTCATGTATCCATTTTAGATTTTCTGATGTATTGGCATGTATTTGCTCATAGTAGTCTCTAATGATCCTTTGAATTTCTGTGGCATCAGTTGTAATGTTTCCCTTTTAATCTCTGATTTCTTTTATTTGGGTTTTCTGTCTCTTTTTATTAGTCTGACTGATGGTTTGGAGATTTTATCTTTCCAAAAGACCAACTTTTCATTTTGTTAATCTTTTGAATTTTTTTTGTTTCACTTGCATTTATTTCTGCTCTGATATTTATTCATATTTATTTCCTACTATTAATTTTGGGTTCAGTTTGCTCTTGACTTTCTAGTTCTTTAAGATGCATTGCTAATTTATTTATTTGAAGTTTTTCTACTTTTTTGATGTAGGTGCTTATTGCTATAAACTTTCCTCTTAATACTACTTTTGCCATATCCCATAGGTTTTGGTATGTTGTGCTTCCATTTTCATTGTTTTAATAAACTTCTAAATTTTGTTCTTAATTTCTTTATTTGCACACTGGTCAATCAGGAGCGTATTATTTAATTTCTCTGTATTTGTATAGTTTTCAAAGTTCTGCTTGTTATTGATTTCTAGTTTTATTCCATTGTCATCAGAGAAAATACTTGATATGATATCAATTTTTTGAAAATTTTAAGACTTGCTTTGTCAGCTAATATGTGGGTTATCATTGAGAACGATCTGCGTGCCTAGGAGAATAATGTGTATTCTTCAGCTATTTTATGAAATGTCCTGTAAATATCTATTAGGTCTATTTTATCTATAGTGCAGATTAAGTCTGATGTTTCTTTGTTGATTTTCTGTTTGAATGATCTGTCCAATGCTGAAAGTGAGATGTTGAAGTCTCTCTCTTTAGCTCTAATAGTATTTGCTTTACATGTCTAGGTACTGCAGTGTTGGGTACATATATATTTACAATTGTTATATCCTCTTGCTGAATTGAATCCGTTATCATTACATAATTACCTTCTTTATCTCTTTTTATAGTTTTTGTCTTGAATTCTATTTTGTCTAACAAAAGTATAGCTACTCTTGCTTCTTTTTTTGGTTCCATTGGCATAGAATATCTTTTTTTATCCCTTTATTTTCACTCTATGTGTTTCTTTATAGATGCTCTATGCTTCTTAGAGGTAAGAGATCATTGGCTCATTTTATTTTTCATCCATTTAATCCATTCAGCCACACTATGTCTTTTAATTGGAGACTTTAGTCCATTTATATTTCAAATGGTTTCAGAATACAGTGTACCATATATATATATATATATATATATATATATATATTTTTTTTTTTTTTTTTTTTTTGAGACGGAGTCTCGCTCTGTCGCCCAGGTTGGAGTGCAGTGGCGCAATCTCGGCTCACTGCAAGCTCCGCCTCCTGGGTTCACGCCATTCTCCTGCCTCAGCCTCCCGAGGAGCTGGGACTACAGGCGCCCGCCACTGCGCCCGGCTAATTTTTTCTATTTTTAGTAGAGACGGGGGTGCATGCCTGTAATCCCAGCACTTTGGGAGGCCGAGGCGGGCGGATCACAAGGTTAGGAGATCGAGACCATGGTGAAACCCCGTCTCTACTAAAAATAGAAAAAATTATTTTTAATTAAATATTATTTAGTTCATCATTTTGGCAAAATTTCATGGCGTTTTTTCTGAGTGAAAATGTATCTACTTATCTGTAAGTAGATAAATCATGCAATTTAAACTTAGTAAAACACATACTTAAAATTAACAAATAGCATATAGGTACAGATATATTCTCTAAGCGACAATCAATACTTCCAAAACTTACATTTAGAATATATGTTATATGTAACCCTTAACTGCATTGAAGGGGAATGTTTGTTCTTCTGGCCTAATAATTATATGTTCAGAAAATCTGCAGTATTTCCCTTATTATAAATTTAATGTACATGAATTAATCTTCAATATTATATTTAAAAGCTTATCCTTTAAGATGACTTAAATATTCAATTATTAAAAACAATTGAGCTTTGGTTTTTTAACATAGCATCCATGTGGACAAATAACTTCATGAAAATGTCATGTACTCATAGGGCTTTGATACATGTTTGATGGCAATCTATTCAAGAAAGAGTAAAAAGCAATTTTAGGTGACAAAGATTAAATTGAAAGATTTTCATTCTTACATCCATTAATGAAAATATATTCTGATTGTAAAAAAATTCAAAAATGAAATTAGTGTACATTATCCAGACTTTTATTCCATTTTATTATATCAATAATCAAATACATAGTCAGAAATCTTATACCTCACAACATATTGTAAATTCTAATTAGTCTGCTTAATCCGTTAAGAAAAGTATAAAGCACCTCCCATCCTGTGGGATAACTGACTTGAAAGGTCAAGTATCTTATTTGAAATCACTTGGTGTGACACAGTGGCCAAAGGCTAGCCACAAAACTATATTCAGAATAAAACATTGCCAAGAAATCTCTGAAGTAGTTCATACCTCAAATCATCATATATTGGAATACAATTAGTAATAAAGGGAAATCCATCCAGGGAATCCTCAACTTAGCCTTTGTCTTTCATCACAATAAAGGGATGTAATTCACAAGATTACAATTTCTTTCACACTCCCTATGGTGATTTTTCAAATTACAAATTTACTTTTCAACTATGTACTAGCATCTTGGAGGCATTGTGTTCCATGTCTTTCATTAGGTGATGGGGGATCACATGTTAATGTGAAATAGTATTATTCAAAACTAATTATTTTTCTTCACTCTTTGTCTAGGAGGCACTATAGAACATTTCAGTCAAAATGCTGGCAGCGTGTGACTAGAAAGTGCCATGAAGATGAGAATTGCATTAGCGCCTTAAGCAAACAGGACCTCACTTGTTCAGGAAGTGATGACTGCAAAGCTGCTTACATAGATATCCTTGGGACAGTCCTTCAAGTGCAATGTAACTGTAGGACCATTACACAAAGTGAGGAATCTTTGTGCAGGATTTTCCAGCACATGCTTCATAGAAAATCATGTTTCAGTAAGTTCCCCGACTAAAATTATCTATCCATCTGTCTGTCTATCTATCTATCTGTCTATCTATCTATCTATCTATCTATCTATCTATCTATCTATCTATTTTGTTTTTGCCTGTACGGTACAAAGTGGTAATCCGGCATGGCACAGACATTTTTGTGTTTGCTATTGCATTTGAAAATTTGCTTTCTGATTATGTTCTGCGTATTTACTATTTTACTCACTTACCTGAAAATAGTACGTTTTAAAAATTTATGTGATAGATCACTCTTAATTTGTTGATTTCAATATCAAAAGCATGGAAGACTTATTCTGTCAGATAAATGGATATATCAAGTGTCCATTGCTACATAACAAACCACAAATATCTATACTAAGTAACAAAACAATAGCTTCAAACAATAACCATTTATTTGCTCACAGTTCTGCACATTGGACTTGGCCTAGCTGGATGGCTCTTCTGATGGTCTTTTTGGGGATCACTCATGTGCCTATTGTCATCTGGTACCAACAGGCTCTGCTGAGGCTGTTTGGTCCAAGGTGGTATTAGCAGACACCATTTGCTGGGATGGTGTGGTTCTTTTCCATATGACATCTTCAGTAGTATAGCCAAAAACTCTTACATGGCAGCAAAATAATTCCTAATGGCTAAACCCCATTGTGCAGCTATCTTTATCTGCTGCTGTCACATTTGTAAATATTTCACTGAACCAAGCAAATCACAATGATCAACCTCAGAGTCATTGTGGGAGTGGAATACATAAGGATGTGAATATTCAAGGTCAGATTAATCAGGGACATTACTCTAACAACCTACTATAATTGGCTGTCCCAATCTAGGTACAATATATTCACTCTTCAATTTAGTTTTTCTCCCCTTGGTCCTTAACACGTCTGCTAATCAACCTAAAATGATGAGATGGAAAACGTATTTTCCAAAGTTATTATTTAATTTAGGGACAAGAAAATTGATATTTAGTAATTTAAATAATTTGTTCAGCATCTCAAAGTGAGCAAATGGTCAAGAGGGACTTTTTTGAGTCTTAAGGAAAGAACCTATGGATGTGATTATGTACTAATTCAAAACCTCTCTATTATCCATCTTCAGGGTTAGACCATGCAACCATCTATGTCCCTAAACTTCCCCAGGCCCCTACCCCTAGGTCCCTAGTTGTAACTACCATATCTGCAGGTACTGTTTCTAGAAGGAAATAATGGATATTTACTGTTTCATAGCAAACCAAATCTTTATATTTATTGAAAATGTTTGACAGATATAGATCTATACCTACAGCTATATTTGTGTATCTGTGTCTATATACAGATACACATTTTACACATTTATATTTCTATTTTTCCTTACAGATACTTAGGAGATGCACATTAGCCAAATATGATAAAAATTGTGATTTGTTGTGTATTAGGTAATAGACATACAACTCAGAGTGTATGGTTTTGATTTCAACAGTGTTTTCTGTGATATATCCACAATTTCTATAATTAGCACTACTGATATATTTCAACTGAAATCATGATACAGAGAAGAATTGCAGTGTTGTATAGGTCATATTTTCTGATTTTCCTCTCTTATTAACATTAGTTCTGTTGAAACTGAAAGTATTATAATGAATGTCTCATATGATTACAGCAGGAAAATACCAAATAACCAATCTGGTATTAACCAAATTAAACTAACAGTAATATATACTGTTATATAATAACAGTTATTTATAGGTTCTTTCTAATATTGCATTTTATAAAGAAAAATGTTGATTCTACAGATTAATAACGACTCAGTTTTTTGGCATGATTCTCTAAAAATATAGGTCTAAACTTCCTAATTCTAGTTCTAAACCTGTTTTTCTCAAATATAACAACGATTGTGTTTGATTTTCATAGTGTTTGCTTACTATAACTTTTTCAGAGCAAAAAATTTGCAGAGGTACTAAAGATGGACAGTTGAAAATCCATAAACATTGAAGTACTATGTGAATGCTTTAGAAAAATGAAAATTCAAAATGTTTTCACTTTTCTTTACTTACCTAAGAAGTGGAAGTTTTTGTTCCAAATATTACCTACCAAGACTAGGAATTTCAAATGACAGGATTGGAAAATTAAAGGAACCTCAAAGGTCTTTGGTCACAGTTCTTGGTAGAGTTGTCCCTTGGTATCCATGGGGAATTGGTTCCAAGACTGAAATGGAACCCAAAATTTGTTCATGTTCAAGTCCCTGATATAAAATGGGGTAGTATTTGCATATAACCTATGTATATCCTCCCATATGCTTTAAATAATGTCTAGATTACTTATAATATCTAATACATTATTTACAGGTAAATGCCATGTAAATCATGGTTATAATGTATCTTTTACATTCATATACATTTTGTTGTGCTATTCTAAAATTGTTTTTTTCTCCCAAACATTTTGTTCCAAAGTTGGTTGAGTCAGTGAGTGCAGAACTCACAGATATGGAGTGATGACTGTACTTGAATTAATAGCAAGAATTCCAAATAAAAAACCAAATCCTTAGGCCTTGCTAATTCTAACAAATCTTTATCCATTGCCTCAAATATATGGAAGTAGCCCCAGGACATTTTTTGAAGGAAGTATGTCTCTCATCATTGCCCTGGCTTCTCACATTGGCCTAGCATTCTCATGCATTTTGAAAAGATTCATCATTACAGTATGTTTCCAAACCCTTTAGCTTCTGCTTGCTTTACCTGAAAGGGTCAACTGAATAGAACTGAGAGGACAGTGAAAGGAGGCTTTTCAGTCTGTCACATTTGCTTAATTAAATGTATTGTTTCTCAAACTCATTTGAGCTTAGGCCACAGTAAGTAATATATGTTTATATTAGCTTTGTACTCTCTTTTTTATGCAATATACTCTGTTTCTCACAAATTTTTATTGCTTTATTCTATTGTTCCCGAATTTTGATCACTACTCACTAAATTGATTTTAAGACTTACTAACATGTTGTTCGCTGAAGTTTGAAAAACACTTTCTTGGAACATAACATCTGAAAATAAATTTATAAGATTAAATAGCTTGCCCAGGATTTTACATTGGGTATGGTATAGTCATGACCCTGGCTGGTTGACTTGGAGCCCACTATATTCTCCTGTTTGTGAAATGATAATGAAAACAAAACAAAACAAAACAAAACAAACAAACAAAAATCTTGTATCTGCTCCATATTCTCCAAAGCCCTGTTAGTCTGAACTTCATAGTTCTGTTCTGAGAACTAAACTTGGCAAATGCACCGAAGAGCCCTTGTCCTTCCCTGTGTGCATGACTACACTCAGGCAGAAGAGCATCCTGAACAAACCATGTGTTCTGTCACCAACCTCCACTTACCTGCTGACTTCTAGATTCACAACAAACTTAATTGTCTGTGATAATCTGTAGCACAGAACACATTTGTGGCCCTTAGAGCTAACAGAGAAATGAGGGCCATGGAAGAGAGAAAAGTTGGTTAAGAGATAGAGGACCATAGACACGGAAAGGATTAAAGGATCCATTATTGTTTTGAGTCCATTATACTGAAGGAATGGGAGGGTGTACCTTAAGCTGATAGAAATGTTATTTTTGCATTTCGCAGAGCTTTGTTTTTTTAATACCAATTGTATAGTCAGTAAACGAGGTATGAAATATCACCATTCTGCCCCTGAAGACTCAGCTCCTTCATTTGAATAATTAAAAGAAAAAGGAGAAAGCAGAGGAGGAAGAGGAAAAGGAGGGGGGAGGAGGGGAGGGGGAAGAGAAAACAGGAAGGAAGAGAAGGAGAAGGAGAAGTTAGGAAGAAAGAAAAGAGGAGAGGAGGAGGAGAAACGGGGAGGAGGGTAAGAAGAAGAGGAAGAAGAAGAAGGAGAAGAAGGAGAAGAAGGAAAAGAAGTAGGAGAGAAAAGAGGGAAGGTGGAGGAGGAGGATAAAGAGGATTAAGAAAAAGCAGAAAACTTCTGTTTAGTAAACTCTACAAGGGATGGAAAACATAGCAATACAAATGTGATACATGCTTTAAAAAATTTAAAGAATACAGAAATAATTCCATTCTCAAGAGATAGCCAATGTTAATAAGGTTGGTGTATATTCTTTTGAACTTGTTCTTTACTTGTAATACATACTTTGAATACCTTGTATGTACATGTTTACATTACTCTGACACACACACACACACACGTCATTTTTTAAGGCAAACTAATTGCTTTACAGCTTGCTTTTTAAACTTAAAAAAATATATGGTAGACCCATTTCCAAGTATTTATATATATGGTAGCTTAATTCTTTTTAAAGATTACATCATATTTTATAGTATAACTACATCATAATTGTTAACTAATCTCCTATTAATGTGGATATTTTGTTTGAATGCAATTATTTTTACAGACATTGCTACAATAAATGTTACTGCACATATGCACTGGCATTTCAAGAGAATAGGTTTCAAATGGTGGAATTAGTAGACCATTTATGCATTTGTGCATTTTTAAATTTGGTAGGAATGGAAAAAAGAAACAGTATGTTCCAATTACATTTTTAATGAGAAAAACTTCATTGTTTTTAAATAGTATTTTTATTATAAATAATACGGAACATCTTTTCAGTGACTGTTGGAAATACTCTCTTTCTTCTTACCTACTCGTATACTGTGCTTAAAATATCCTGCGTCTTTAGTATCAGTAAATGACACTTTTGTTGCCTATGTCACCTGTTTGTGTGGATATGTGAAGACTCGTTGATCTGCATACCTCCTAATGATCCTGATGAAAAAGTGATGACCTGGCAGGCCATAGTCTTGGGCTTGGAACTGGACCCTACTATGTGTTATCTGAGTTATGTAAAGGGCAAAGTTTTAAAATCATGTTTGGAATATTCAACCATTCTTCCTCAACTAGATAATCTCCATTGCTTTTTTAAAGGATAATTTTCACTACATGATTAATAATTCAAAACAAAATTTATAATATAAATATAATTATGAAGAATAATTGTATTTATCAT